CTGCAGCAAGCGCTTTGACCTGTTGCTTGTAATCAAGTACGAGTGCATATACTCCGGATCCACCTGGAACCTAGTGTCAAATAAGGGTAGAACACCAAGGCAGACATTGACGCCTCACCTAAACCGCCAGCTTTCCTCATGTAAATGTGATGACAGAGAGACAGAGCTTCAAGGCTGATCTTGGATCCCGGAAAGTGCTTCTTCAGTAATCTGATATGCACATAATGGATTACACTAAAGGCAGACAGGAAACGTTCGGGACAATGGACATACTGTGAGGGAGCGCATTTGGAGCACAGTCGGACGCGTGCGTTCCAATGGATGACCCTGCCGTGGATTGATGCACAGAACTTGTGAATAGATCAGATATGGCAGAGCGCAACAGCGCATGGACCTACATGGCAATGACGGCCATAAACTAAATTTGTATAGTGAAGGATACTCATTCCAGGTGGACATGGGGGAGGCACAGGTGCCGGAGCGTTCTCATAAACCTGGAAGGAATTTGTTCATTTCATGTTCATGTCAAAGCAGCGAAGCAGGAAGGAAAACGAACCCGTATCCACAAGAAAGCATGGGTTGGGTTGGTAACGATGGCACGAAGGTCTTTCGTGGCCCGGGAAATGTGAAGAAGGTCCAATGGCTCAAGCTCACTGAAAATCTCCAGTAAAATGTCCAACGGCATTTCAGTCATCAACTTTAGTTTGCCTCTCCTCCCTCGGACCCTACTGTAGTCCGTGGTGTCAATTGGCACATTGTCGCGGGTAGTGGGCGATCTTTTCTTCATAGGCTTTTCTGCCACTAACTCACTAGCTGCAGAAATCTTGCGTTTCTTTTGAGGACGTGTGTTTGTCTTGCTGCGGGATGTTGAAGCTATGGGAGCCACTTGCCCTGCTAACGCCGCCTTGGCTTCTTGTTTGACGGTTAACCGGGAGGATTTACGATGAGACATGGTGGTAGAGACGATGTGTGCTGCACCTGTCTTATATATAGGCTCGTCGAGGGCCGAGGCGGAACTCGGGTCAGGCGGCTCGAGTCAAGAGTTGTGAATATGAGGCACTTGCAATGTGCATGTACAGAAATGGAAACCGCCCGACGCGCATAGTCATGTGCGTCCGTTACGCAGGCTCGACACCACCCGTCCGGACGGATATATACAGCGCCAAGCCCTGTAATCCTTACCAGGACGGCTGGAAGCACTTCATCGTGATGGAACCGATGGGAGTTTCAAACTCCGAACGTCGAGCAAAAAAGGAAATTATCCCCTGTGTCGGGAGCCCTCCTTCTCGTCCTTGGCCTTTCGTGCAGCGAATCGTGTTGCTATAGGTATAGGATATCACACGAAAGACTGAATAATACATTTATAATACTTTGGTGAAATTTTGAAAATGATGGCTAAGAATTCACTGGTACAACCCCAAGGCTATTCCTTATGCACAAGGGCTTTGGCCGACGTTCAGAATGCCCAAACACAGTGCTATGAGGAGGGAGTGTCATTGACGTATGTCAGGTTGAATGTCCTTGTATGTAGAACACACTATCCTCCGAACCCTCTCCTACCCACCCCACGATGACGGATTGTCTTTGCTATGGTGCGTTGGGAGCCAATATCGGCATGCTCCTCCGAGTCCTCCCACCTCACTCCGGCACAGACATCGAGAACAAACAGGTGCCCACGAATGCCATAGGAGAAGGGAAGAGGTGGGGGCACTGTGATGCGCCAACGAAAGGCCGGGCGCTGCATATCGACGGAGGCCAGGCACGGGGACATTGCTTATCTGTTCGATCCAGTCTTTCCCTGAGGGCAGAAGAAAGGCACAGCACTTACGATCCATCATCGACATCGTTTCTCACCGAGTCTGTACCCCATGTCGCAGCTCCCAGCTAGACCACGCCCGTCCTCTCCAATCCACAGTGCTGAAGGTAGGCGTTCCGAGTTAATCCTCGGGATGGAGGTGACAGTAGCATATCAGATCAAGTACATGAGCATCGACGTTGAAGGACTCCTCCTGCCCCATGGCGAGCACGGAGCATGGAGGATGAGTGCATAACAGCAAACAGGTAAGCCATCGGATAAGTTGTCGAATGGCCGGCGAGAAGGAGTGGGCTGAGGTCTCGAATGAACGTCACGACATATACAGTCATCCACCGGCCAATGAGACACCACCGGCTAATGATACACCTTGGAACACCATGAAGGACTCAACTGTTTGCTTTGAAAAAATAACCCCATTCTCTATAAGTCTTTCATACACTGTGTATAAAATTTTATGGGTTTTGGTGAAGTCAATGCCCAGTAATAATATCACCAAAATATTCATTTTGGTTGATTTTGTCACACCAGTCACTGGTACAGCATCTCTGGCTGTTTCTGCTCACGTTTGGTTGATTTTATGGCATACAGCTGGTATAAATTTATTTTAATGGCTCTATTACACTGATTCCAAGTGGTTTTATGAGAATCCATGGGCTGGTTGAGTTCTGGGATCAAATTTAAATTTCAGTGTATCAAATGATGGTGGATGACTGTATTCGGGGCGTCAGGTTGATATTTTTGCGACGATGTTCGAGAATCCGTGGTGTTCGAGACGCTCAACGCGAAGCAAGAGTTAGAGAATCATGACGCGTTTTACCGCGTCGCAGCACGTGTGCTGTTATTATTTCCTTTTTGGCTCGATGGTCTGAGTTTGAAATTGCCATCTACTAGGTTACGGTGAAGTGCTACCAGTCTCCTTGGGTTCCGTTCAACCGCATCACCCCATCTATTTCCGTTCAAGAAAGTGATGAGTCATCCCCATCACGTCACCCGCCCTCTAGTAAGATTGAACGAACCCAAGCGAGAATGGGATCGAGTCTAGTTACGCACTGGCAACTGGCTAAGTCATTCAAATTTTCAATTTGTCAAGCGTTGTACGACGACTCAGCCGAAGTCTGGGATAGCTAGTCACTGACTACTCTGACACAAATTCTGCAGATGGACATGGCACATCGCATTCACCCGAAATGAATACTGCCTAAATAACCCCAACTCTCATCCGACAACGCTGGGACTGCATCAGAGAATCATAATCATACTTGCTGGTTGAACGTTGAAGGATCACAGAGGGGTCACAAAAAAGAACCTTTTTTTGTCGGGATTCTAGGACGGGTAGACAGGCAAGGAATCGTAGCTTAAGAAGAAATGCCTGTTACACGCCTTGAAGACATCTTAGTTCCAAAGTCGCTTTCCGTGATGTTGCTCTTCTCGCAGAGACTTCTGAAGGCACCCTTGTCGTTTCGGTACAAGGCTAGTGGAGTATCAAATTCCTGGAAAAATGAGGTAGTTAAGGTAGGATTTTTCTTGTTTTTAGGGGGGGATCATTCATCTAACTTACTGCTATGTTTCCACTATCCAGAACCAGGATGCGATCATAGGTCAATATTGTTCTGAGACGGTCTGAGAAGGGTTGAATGTCCAGCAATGTCCAACAGAGAGAGAAAACCAAGCTCACGAGCTATACAAATGAGTGTTTTGCCCTTGAATTCGGTTTGGATTGTACATTGAATCTTCTTATCTGTCTCTAAATCAACAGAGGCGCTGAAGTACAAATCAGTAAAAGATAAAATGAAGAAATTGCTAGCGACGCACGTAGCTTCATCCAATATCACCACTCGATTATCTCGAACCAACGCCCGTGCAAGGCTAAGCAAAGATCTCTGGCCCACGCTAAGATTGGAGCCTTCCGCCTCGATCAGAGTGTCCAGCGTGATCCGATCGGTAGATGACCCCTCAACAAGGAAAGAAAGACGCAGGGCGTCCCAAAGTCGTGCATCGTCATAGCGGTAGAACGGGTCAAGAGCCGTTCTGACGGTACCTGCGCGCGAATATTTAGTGACACCGTAAATGGAGCCATCCCTCTTTAAAGTTACCGCTAAAGATTGTGGGCTACCACAGAGATTAGTGTCACACTTGGGATGAGGAACGCCCAGAGTCATAGAGAACTCACATCTTGAGGAATGATGGCAACTTTGGTTCGCAGATCCTTTAATCCGATCTTTGAAATATCCACCCTAGGCATAGATCAGAGTTTGAACAGAGTGAAGGAGGTACTGGTCATGGCTTACCCATCAATTGTAATGGTCCCCACGAACTCGACGATGCGAAGCAAGGCTAATGTTATCGAAGATTTACCAGCTCCCGTTCTTCCAACTATTCCGATCTTTTCTCCCCCATTAATAGACAGGGAAATGTTATGCAGAACGTTGGGGAGACCGGGCCGATACCGCATGGAAATGTCTTTGAACTCGATAGCACCGGTAGTAGGCCACTCTGGAGGTGGTCTGCTTTCTGAAATTTCGCTTGCTGCTTCTTGTTCTATTGAATCCGAATGACTGTAGTTTACGACTGTGGCGATGATGTAATTTAGCTGAATTATGAAATTAGCCGTGAAGGGTAAACCGGCATACCTCTTTCTACTGAATTCAAATAGTTCTGCGCCAAATGGAAACATTCACGTCATGCAATTTCTCAAGGATTCTTGGAGACATACCTCCACTTCTGCCGTTTGTCTCGTAAGTATACCACATGCTTGGGTCAAGGAGGCTGGGCAATGGGCACCGTCAGCCAAGCTCCAGGACATGATGCAGGAAATCATACTTGTATAGGTCAGAACTAGACCGATTTGAGCAGCCGTGGTGCCTGAAAAGTTGAAGACCGCAAAGAGGGCGACCTGTGGAGCATAAGAATATTGTAGAACGTATTGCGCGGGAGACATACAAAGAAGACCATAATTGCACCACAAAAATCCAGGCGAACAGCCAACCATCTGTGAACATAGGGGTTGATTGTTAATGGCAGATGGTCAATTCAGATTGGAGTGCCCACCTCTGGTTTGTGACGGTCAGAAACAAAGATCGATTTTCCAGGTCAACGTAATACTCGTTTTCTTTGAGAAAGCGGGGTATCTCTCCATATGAGCGCAAAGTCGGAAGGCCTGAACAACGATAAACTGGGGTTGCCTGTATGGCGGTACTGAGAGGACTTACCTGTTAGTGACTCTGAGAAATGAGAATACACGAGCGATCGCAGCATGGAGCCTTCATGGCCAGTGTTAATGAAACAATCAAAGAGCCAGATCGCATAAAGGGAGAACTTGCCTAGTCGTTTCACTTCGCGGGCACTGGCTCTGTAATACGCAGCAAAATACTGGTACCCAATCGCGATGAAAACGGCGACGATGACTAGACAGTTTTGCTTTTTCAGAAAACTGACGGGCGGCGACCTGGGTGCTACTTACTAAAGTAGTGCTCTACCACAGTGATGATCACAACAGCTCCAAGGACATTGGATATCGTCAATATGACTGGAGGATGTCAGTCTCGAGGGGTTCATGGAGGAGCTTGTCACGAACGCATTCGTAACGACACTAAGAGAATGGTTTGAGAAATGATCCATTGAAGGTCTAATATCACCCACCTGGGAGTTGATTGTCGATATCTTGCTGCACAGTTTTAAAATGAGTACCATTTTGATATCAGGGTACATACTATCAATGTCTTTGCCGAACACGCCAATGATCCTGCCCATAGGCTAGAAACAAGCATGTATTTAAATCCGATAGGAGGACTATGAGAATGCTCACAGTGGTATCAAAAAAGGACATCGGGGCATGGAAGATATTGAAGACGCCGTCATGATGGAGGTTTTGCGAAACAAGGTAAGAGAAAATATCACTGGAGAGGCCCCTGCAAAACGTCTTGAGAAGACTGCTGGATGGCGGTCCAAGAAGACATACAGGACAAAGGTAAAGATGGACTGAGTGACTCCTAAAAGAGCATATAACGTTTGGTAAAACGAAAACGGACGGTGAAAAGCGCTGGTGAAACGGTCAGCATCATCAGCTGTTCACGAAGATTGAAGAGCGTACTTTTCCTGCCACCACACCAGAGTGTAAGAACTAGTGATTTGGCTGCCTTGGCTGAGAAGCAAAGCGATAATCAGCAGTGGTGCGGTGAAAACCCCTCGTCCGGCGTCAACATAAGCTTTGTAAACTACACAGTAAAAAGTTAGTTTTCGACGAACTCGATCAACTTCGTCAACTGACCTTTAGCGGATATCGAGCCGGTGGTACGATGTTCCTTGACTATCAGCTTTCCCTCGAGTTTGCCTGTGCCGGCAGCCCGTCGCTTTGTCAATTCGACGCTTGCTTTTACATCTTCAGTCGGAACAGCCGTCTGCAACGCTTCTTGAGGATCAGTATCGTTGCCACCGAATTCTCGATCAAGTCTAGCAAATTCGCCGTTGGCCTGAACAAGTTCTGGATAAGTTCCTTGTTCCGTGATAGATCCATCATGGAGTGTATAGATGTAATCGCAGTAAGAGAGGAAATGCAAGGCGTGCGTGACAAGTATGATGGTCTTTCCCTGATTGCGAAGCGCTCCGAGAATGGCGGTATGGAACAAGGCCTTACCCACGTGGGCATCGACTACAATACAGCGAGGGTAAGTAATCTAAATGAGTGTGAAAGAGTTGGGAGACAGACCGGCGGAAAATGGATCATCCAGAATGACGATATCAGCATCATAATACAGAGCTCGAGCTATGTTTATCTACGGAGAGTCAGCGAGTGTGTATTACATGCGCGGGTTTGAACTTACACGTTGTTTCTGACCACCGCTGAGATTGACGCCCTTTTCTCCAATCTGGATCATACAAGGTCAGAGGAGGTTTGAGCGCCTACACATCCTGAATACCTCGGTCAAGTCGCCGTCCAGAAGAACCTCGAGGTCCGGTAGGAGAGATGCTTGTTCGATGACGCGCCAATATCTTTCCTTGTTATAGGCTTGTCCGAAAAGAATATTATCTCGCTATGGGACCATCAGATTGGGACAAAGGGGTAAGAGAGGGAAAAATAATACCACAGAGGCATTTTGAATCCAGGTTGTTTGTGAACAGTAGGCCACCCTTCCTCCGAAGACTACACTGCCTGATACCCTCCTCATTTCGCCAAGTAAGCCCAAAAGAAGACTCGATTTGCCAGATCCCACCTGGCCAACTACAGCGACCAAACTTCCACGCTGCACGTGCATGACGACGCTTTGAACGCGGAAGGGGGTGCTAGAGGAGCCAGGCCCATCCACACAATCTCCCTTCTCTAATGTTTCTTCCCATTCGAAGGTGGCGCGGTCCACTTGCAGTGCCCACTTGAGCTCCAGGTCGACGACAAGAGCATCTCCGGTTCGTATTTCGGCTTCAAAAACATTGTGAAGTCGGGAGAGGGCGCTTCTCGCATCCGAAGTAGCCGATAGTGCGCGAGGCAGGAACATCATGGGCTGACGAAGAAGCTATGAAACCGTTCGCTTAGCAGACTAAGAGGCACAAGAGAAGAATGCCCTTTACGCTGAAAAGACTGAGTGACGAGAAGATGACCGCGACGTCGAATCCACGCGTCACATGGGTATAAGTCACGAAGGCGAGGGTGGCGGCGAGCACGGGCATAGAAAAGGCTATTGCGACGCTATAAAGGGAATTATTAATTTGTGGTAAATTCACAAATGACGCCGCACTTTGCAGATTGGGAAATGAGGATACTTTTGACACCTTTCAACTCATTTCTTCTGATGGTAAAGATTCCTGTGGAAGAAAAGTTGAAGGAAGGAATGGGGATCAGAGGGAGCACATACGCTGGAGGAACGGTTCTTCGTAAGAGAAATACTTTACGACGCGCATGGAACCTTGAATACGTGTCAGGAGAGGCAATGACAAAAAATTGGGCAATTCAGTCACCTAAAACTTCAAGCAATGTTTTGGCCCGTTCATCGGTATATTTCGTGGATCTCTTTCGTATCTGAAACTGTTGTGCCATTGCTCGTTCTTGGATCGGCGCGATAATCACGAAGAGAGCGAATCCAGCCAATGCAGATGGGCCCAGCTAAGTTGCAAGTGTTAATAACTCATGATAGCCAATATAGACAGCCGGAATACCTGGAAGAGCAGAACAATAAGACACACAATGATTTGAATTGGTGCGGTCCAAGCTAAAGTTCGTGGGTACTCAGACGAAGAAAGAGATAATGAAGACGGATTACCAGCGTGCTAGAATGCGAATAGGTGAATCACTCTTTTGGTGTTAAGAATGTCTCAAATATACTCACAAACCATTGAGCACAATTGTCAATTCGACTGATCTAAAATTCTCTTCGCTCACCGACAAGTAATGGGATAAGAAAGTAGGATGTACATCGGTAGAAATGTGGTTCATGAGGTCAGAATTACTGATTGACACCCGCGCTTTGCCAGTGATATTCATGCCGCGGCTGTACAAGGATTTAATGAGTGCTGCGCGAGTCAGCACACCAGTAATCATGGAACGCCAGAAAAACTGGGCACCCAGTCAGTATGAAGGCTGGCAATTATCGGAAAGATTCGCACTTGATGTTGGCAGATACTCGAGCCCATTGTGAGTAAAAACAATCCGACTGCCATTGCGAATCCGACGCCGAGACTGGGGCCTCCTTCACCTATAGACTTCGCAGATTCCCGGTCCTTGGCAAAATTAATGATAGCCTAAGAGATGTAAATCGAAGTGCCTATGGTATACGGAAACAGGACGAACACACCTTCACCACTAATGGACCCATCAATTGGGAGGTGTCGCCTATAACCTGTTCTAGGTGAGAACAGCATGCTCGTGTATCATGGAAACCAACCCACCTTGAACATTCCTCCGCTCCAGAAGAAAAAACCAATCGTATCGTTCAAAGCAAGGCATATGCTAGGGTGTTGCCGAGCGCTGAACTGGCGCCAGTAACCGTCTAATTCCGCGTAGCGCTGAGAATGATTCTTTCCCGCTCGCATTGCTCGTATAAACCAATAGAGACGTCTGAGGAAGTTGGGTTCAATGATTCCGCTTCTCAGTTTCGCGTTCCAATCCTCTGCACTTGCTTTTCGCCGGGACCACGCTTCGTCGAACGTAGACGCCAGTACAGCGGTTGTGTGACTGTGGTCGAGCTTCCATAAATCAGGCGCCTGAAGAGTTCTTTGGTAACCAAGTTTCTGCAGCACCTTCAGCATCAAGAACAAATCCCATGAAAAGAAATACGCGCCATGATCGGAGTGACCCAGGTGTATGTGAGCATTGAAGCGATGGACGCGGTGCTGAGCGGAATTTTCTCATGTAAAAATAAGTTTTCGAAAAGACACGCGAGTTTAACACCACCATACAGGAGCATCTGCCAACGAAGCTGGTGGTGGGGGAGGTGTCCCATTTGGTATCCTAAGGCGGAGCACGTCAACTTGCTTTCAACTACATTGAAACTGGAGTGAATTAGACATACCAAAATTTCCACCAGCTAGTGCGTGCTCTGGTTGTCACATTCCCAAAGTCTAACTGAATATCCACGGAATTGCCTGTGGGATTATGGCCTTGCAGATCTGATGCAATTTCTTCCTTTAAGCGAACGGAAGCTTCGCCAGAGAGGGAAGGCGAGGAACTGGACCCGCCTGCACCATCCTTCTCGACGACTTCGCCAACGCCCAGTGTTGCCATAGATCTCTCCGGGTTTGACACTGGCAAAATGGACGTTGGATAACTGGAGCATGCATGCGTTATATAGATAGCACCTATCGGCATGCACGGCAAAGAAGAAAATGCGAGAGGTAATGGGCCGGGCTATTTTGGTCTGGAAAGAGGTCATTTTGAGGTATATGCACTCTTTTTGGCGTAGCTCCTCACAAAGAGGAAGGAGTCGGATGATGAGCTGGGAACAGGCCGATTCAGTGCCGCGTCGTGAGAGTGGCGTGATCCACAGAGATAGCAACGAACCTCACTTCAAGATAACCATCCCTCGGATGGTTATCCGAACACACTACTTCCCATCAGCAGATGTGGTGAGCCCAAGGTGTCAGTGAGCTAGCTTCTGCCAGGTCGCGTTCGGAGTTTAATTCAGGAGCCTCGAGTCTCGACGGACCATTTGCACATGACGATAGATGCCACTTTCCAACCCGCCACATAAGGAGGAAACTGCAATTTCAGACATGTTATCTGCCAAGCATCACCGCCAGTCTTCATGTCTCACAAGTTTAAAGCCAGTCAGCGGGAAGGGATAATCGGGGCGATCTGGCGATGGTGGACCAATCACTTGATCTGCTATCTTCCCTCCAATCCTTCTGCTGCTTCGATGGACCAAGTGTGGCATCCCGATCTCAAACCTTTCGAGCGAGCGAAATTTGCAACTTCTGCACGCCTTCTTTCCTGCCTCGTCACAGAATCCATTGTACGAGCTTTCTACCAACCCTTGGACGTCCCAGGACTTTCGGGATTCGTAACGATATTCACGGGTGATATCCGGAATGATTCTACATTCAATGGCGAAGATGTCCTGGCAATTGTTCCTCTGCATCACCCGCCTGTTTTCAAGCACGACGGTGTAGCTGTCCTTGGTCAAGAAATAGGTCTCCTGGACCCACTGGACATGGTACCCGTGGTGTTTGAAACTGTCCTGGAACCATCCACCGATGCCGACACCATCGCAGAAGTAAGGCGTCGTATTGGTAGTACACCCAAAGGGTGCTAATCATCTTCACAGTATGATCAGCTGGTTGGCCTCATCTTGGCTGCCCTCCGGTTTGGAGGGCGCTTAGAGTTGACAAGGGACCAGATCTGCAAGTCCGCTGACCCGATTTCGCTCTGGATAAAATTTGCTACATGTTACAAGTTGGGCGAAGAAATCCAACAAGACATCGCGAAGGAGTTTTCCAGTTCTGTGAAATGGCAAGGTCCGCAATCTTATCTTACTTATGACTTAATGGACTGACTTGTTGCAGTCTATTCGTATGAGAATCCTCCCAAAGCGCCATTATTCGAAGATTCGAGCATCGTATGGGAACAGTCGATCGTTGAAGGACATCCCACTCATCCGGTGATCAGTTCTGCACGTCATCTCTCATCTCATCTTATCTTCAGTGTGTCTAGATGCACAGAACGCGTCGGTTCCTCCCCCCACTACCCGATTATGCTCCAGGATCGGTTAATTTGCTTTACCCGCGCCTGCGGTTTGTCTCAATTCCGAAAGAGAATGCAAAAGTCACCTACGATTTCGAGCTCCTTACGAAACCACTCGTCGAAGCAGCATGCGCTGAGGCAGGAAAGCCTCTGGAAATCCAGGAAGGACACGTCGTTGTACCTGTCCACGAGCTTCAAGTTTTCCATATCAAAGACAAGTTCCCTGATGCCTCTATATACCCGCAAGAATTCAACCTCCCTTTGCTTGCACAGCAGAGTATCCGGTACGCTCTGGTATCGCGATCGTAGATCCTGGCTCACTCATTTGCAGATCCGTCGTTGTCCCGGACGTATACCATGGTCTTCATCTTAAACTTGCGACCGGAATAAAGCTCACATCTGCTGTCCGCACAATTTCTCCCGAATCTGCGTATCTTGGCCCGCGGTTCTCTGCACAGGTTGTCCCAGTGCTTACCATGGATCAAAACCTAGTTACGGTGGCAAAAGAACTTGCTAGCATCGTACACAAGAACATGGACTCCCAGGTAGCAAAGCACTGCGCCGCTATCGTCCGCGAATGTCACGAAGACGGTAGCGAAGAGCGCGGAGAGCGTCTCATCGTGTGCACTTCCCTTGTGGAGAAGGGCCATGCTGGATTAAACGGCCATCTCCCAGCTGTCATCCGAATTTTTGAACTCGACACGCAAGGAAAACGTCTTCAGTGGCTTGAAAAGTGAGACTAAACTCCCCTTAACACTGTAGCCTCTAAATTTGCCCTAGGTTCATCTCAATATTTCTGAAGGCTTTCCTCCCGCCGATGCTCCATAACGGAGTGGCTTTTGAGTGTCACCCTCAGAATTGCATTGCTCGATTTGACCTGAAGACCAAGGAACTCAAGGGATTCATCATCCGCGACTTTGGCGGGCTTCGAATTCATCCTGAAACCCTTAAAGCTACCACAAACGTTGACCTCGATTTCTTGGCCGGCCATTCGATCATCGCGGAGACCCTGGACGACGTGTACACGAGGATGTATCATACGATTATTCACAACCACTTCCAACAGCTCATTCGGGTTCTCGGACTTCACTACAACGGCCTCGGATGGGAGATCGTCCGCCAGCAACTGCGTCAGAACATTCCCGAGGATCATCTTCTAGCCGATGCGTGGCTCTCGCCCGACAGGAAGACCTTCCCAGGAAAGTGCTTTTTGCGCATGCGCATGGCCTCCATGTATCGATTTGTAAGTTGTCTCTTTTTCTTTCCAGATAGACCCACGAACATTCCGTCCCAGCATCTCCACGGTCCCTTCCCGAATCTCATACATTACAAAGGTTGTGAACAGGAGGATCATGAGTAGTAGATTATGTGTACTCCATAGAGGCGTCATCGAATTGTTCATCGTCGCTCAATTTTGCTTTACAATTGCAAGTGTCAACTCTGCTCAAGCCTCAGGATGTTCTAATTGCCGCGGAGTTTGAATTACCTTTCTCATTCCCCTCGCAATCATGATGTATGCAACTTTACTACGGTGTTGTCTGTAAGTAGGGCACTCCGTAGGCTCCAAAGTCTCACTCTACTGCCTCTCATGAGCTGACATGGTGCCGGGAATCCCTACGTGCTGCGGAACCCAATCATATATACGAGTAGGTACGAGTGCTTTACTGTTTGCCGGGTGCTTTTCCGGCGTCGGACGGTTCTTTCGGACGTCGTATGCGAAAAGGCGAGAGTGTTCTCGAGCCATGTCAGTGCTATTCTGCACCCTGCCATTCAGTTGGTTGTTCCCAAGGTTCTCACTTTATTCGATGTGCGTCCATCCATCAAATGCGCCACAACATGCGATGGCACATCATGGCAGGCAATGGTTGCGTTAAAAAATCGTTCTTGTGAGTTTGGCTCTAGCCCTCCATGTTGCCGACGTATTGAATCTCTGCGTGTCAAAAAGGTTCTGCTAGCACTGATGTTAAATACCCTCCACTCCAAAGAAGCGGCGAGTCCAGTCGTTCACAGCAGGTTCACAGCGATGGTTGTCCTTAGCCGAGCTGACAGGAGATCACGTTGTCATACGAGATAAGCGAGAAATTTTATCAGATAACTCACAGCCGGCTCCCTTTCCCAAAGAACATCGCTCACAAGTCGCAACACATCCACCTGGCTGATGATAGGTTTCAAGCCGGAGATCTCCTCACATAAATAAAAGACGATATCGTCCGGTTTCTCGACGAACGTGTCTCCTCCGATAATTTCCTTGGGCGTTTTCCGAACAACGTTTGCCTCCGAGGCTTAGGAGAACTGTACCCCTCTCGAAATTCGTGCGTCATCGCTGCCACCTCTAAGGCGCTGTCTTGCGTATTCATTTTCTCTCGACTAGGAGTTCAGAATATTCTATCTGCCGACGAACGTCATCACTCATACGTTTCTGTCAAGTGATCTCTACATCCCGGGAATTGTTTCACTTCGCCTCCACCTCTTCAGCACAGGTCAATTAAACTCCAGAATTACCTTTCATCCCCTTGAGTGGGGAACTCTGCCGGACTTTGCCTCCCCTGCGGCATAGGAACAACGCTATAAATTTTGCTCCTGAGGCAGCTTGCCTGAACCATCGAAATGGACCTACGACCGCCTTCGTCCCCCCGACCGCATGCGGCGTTCGCGGTAATGTCGAGGCTGATATCCTGCTTGGTGACGGAGCAGATCCTTCGAGCCTTCTACATCCCGTTCAATGAACCTGTCCAAGAGGCGGTTGGCTTCCTGGTTGTCCTTTCGGTCCAACTTGTCTCGGAGAAACCTATTCTTCGACGCGCTCTTCGCTCGGAGGATATATTCGTTATGGTTCCCTTGCACCATCTGCCAACATTCAAAGACCATCGAGTCAGTAAGCAGGACCATGGACAGCTCGTGGGTCTCGTGGATCCCTTGGACATGCTTCCATATGTGTACGAGTTGAAGAAAGAAACGGGTGAAGATGTCGCGGTAAGCCCAGTATTCTGCTTTCGACTTCAACTCATCTTAAATTAAGGATCCCTTCGTCCAAGCGATTCATGCCTGTCTCCTCCCGCCTCCTTGGGATTTAAGGGGGCAAGGGATGCTGCGCCGTGTTGAAGAACCTGTACATCTGTGGCAGAGGTTCGCGGATGGTGTCTTCATACCAGAGAGCCTCCGTGACGTGATCAAAGGCGAAATACAAAGTTCCTTCGACTGGCAAGGTCCGTCAAGTTCTTTCTTAGCGTTAATCCAATGTCTCTGACGCTCACTCGCAGTTCGGGCTTATCAAAATCCACCGACATGTCCCGGTATCGATTCCTCTCCGATAACTTGGGAGCAAAGCCTCGTTGCAGGTCATCCTACACATCCGGTATGCCTATGCAATTCAATTTCTTCGCAAAGGAGTCTAATGACCAATCAGATGCACAGGGCCCGGATGCTAGCTTCCAGCCCTCAGGATTATGATTGGTATCGCCCACGCATTCGATTCGTTCGTGTTCCTCGATCGGATATCGATGCACTCGGAAACTTTGTGGAGCTTAGCAAGCTCCTTGTCGCCAGAGCGTTCGAAAAGGCAGGGCACACGTTGGACCAAGATGATGCCTTTATCCACGTGCCCGTCCATGAACTCCAGATTGAGAACATCCTAACCAGATTCCGGAACGTAGAGGTCCTTGATCCTACCATATTCCTGCCAGCGCTGGCTCAATCGAGCATCAGGTGAGGTCCTCAGTATTTATGGATGCCGTAAACAACTCATTCGACTCTCGGAAAGAACCGTTGTAGTACCTGACTTTCCGGGGATAGCCCTCAAGCTCGCTGTTGGTGTAAAAATATCTTCGTCGCTGCGCACCATATCCCACTTCACTGCCAACTTTGGACCTCGTTTCTCTACCGACGTTGTCCCAAAATTGGCCGTCGACCCGAACATATTGTCCGTGGAACTCGAGCCCGGTAGCGCCGTATACCATACCTCAGATCCAGAAGTTGCAAAGCATTTTACGGCTGTGATTCGAGAGGAATATCAAGCGCCTGAAGAAGAAACCCTCATTGTATGTGCTGCATTGTTGGAGACAGACCATGCTGGGACACCCTCCGACGTTTCCGCTGTCCATTATGCGTTCGCACTCGATACTCAAGAAAAGCGAGAGGCTTTCTTGGATAGGTATTGCTCAATCTTCCTTGCTCTCATATTCCTTGCTCATGTTTTCTCAGATATATTCAGCTGGCTTGCAGAGCACTGTTGCCTGCGCTCATTAAAAACGGTGTCGCATTTGAAGCGCACGCTCAAAACGTGCTTGCTCGTTTCGACAAGATCACGAAAGAGCTAAAAGGTTTTGTGATTCGTGATCTTGGTGGTCTTAGAATTCATCCGTCCACTTTACGCGATTCAACTGGCGTCGATTTCCAGTTCCTTCCTGGGCATTGCGTTGCAACCGAGACTCTTGAAGAAACATTCCCCAAGTTCTATCACACGTTTGTCCACAACCACATCCAGCGTCTCATAAGGCTTCTCGGGTTGCACTACAATGGCCTTGGATGGGAAATGCTACGCAAGCATATGGCCGCCGTTATTCCGAAGGATCACCCAGTGTGGGCTGTCTGGATGGACCCTAGAAGTACCAGCGTGAACTCGAAGTGTTTGATGAGGATGCGGATGCGCGACTCCTATCGAGATGTAATGCCTTTACCTCTTCCCCATGCTGCCACATTTTTTCTGACTTTCTCAAATAGATGGTTTACAGTCCATACCCGAACATGATTCAATTCCGATCTGCACCTGACCAGGAGCCCTGTGATGACGGATGGTCGAAACGCGTCTTTCTCTTGTTTGACCGAATACGTTCCTTTATTACTATGTATCGGCCTACATAGAAGTATTCGAAAGATAACATGGGTTAGCTTTTGCCTGCTGGTCTGTGATCACTATGGAACAGATACATAGTGCTACTACTGTACCATTTCGAATCTATGAGCCGGGGGTGTGACCTGTGACGCGGTGGCCGAAGTTTGCACATTGGCCAACTTGGGCGTGATGAAGGACAACTTCGGATTTCGGCCATGGCCACCCACAGGGCAGGGTGATGAAAAATTTCAAGATGTTGAATGGAAGATCCTGTACCACACAAACTAGTGAATAAGCTTGGGCAATATATTTTGTCTATTCCAGAGGTTGACATTGTGTTTATGTGGGGGGTGCAAGGCTCCAGATGGCTCATTTACACTGCCAATGACCATCTTGCTGCTAAAATTTGAACAGAGACTGCCAGCTAGGTCATTGGTATTTTAACAACATAGAGTAGTGGAAAATCACTAATTTACCATTTTTTGCGATTTCTAAGAGGTTTTGGAAATGGGTTGTCCCACAGGTTTTGAGTTTCTGCCCCATGCACGTGATGCGCTTCTATTACATAACCCATTACTATTTTGGACCTGATGTTCATCAGGACCCGATGTTCGTCACCCCCCCAGAATCTCGCCACCGAAACCTCCGATCTTCACCAGCTTTTGCAGCATGCAACAACACACCAAGACACATATCGCAGACACATTTCTGGGTGGAAAAAGGTGCTATGAAGAAGACAAACTTTTTGGCTCTCTGTCATGCATAGGGCTGCCAACTGTGCCGGGTACAGTGACAGCCGTCCAAGAACGGCTGAAGGTCGGGTTCAAGTGGGCAAGCACCGGCCGGGTTTTGAGGAAAGGGTTGGGCTGTCGGGTCAGGGTGGGAGTATACACGGCTGTGTACGGCCATCCTTCAACCCGGTAACATTAAGTAAATGTCCCTTGATCAGCGCCTAAATGCATTGCTTAATTATCTCTCTGACTGTGTCCACCTTTGGCAGGTGAGATGATGGATAATATTCTTTTTGAGTTCAACTAGGGTGATTGCCACAAAATAGTCATCCAGTCTCAGACCAGAGTGCACCACGACCGACACATCAAGCGCCCATAGGACAATTTCAGACCACTGGATTGGCCCAGCGTGTGTACATCACCTCAGGCTTCATCTCTAAGCACCTCTGCCAGCCACAGAGCTCCCAGCCTTCATCTTGCTATGTAGATACAAATTCTTTCTTCACTTTTTCACCTTTTCCTTGAGCCCGGTTTTGTGAACAGTGCCATCCCCTATTCCGTAGTGCCAAACTGTGTACTACAACATGTATCTCCAAGAAATGCCAGGCACTCAACCCCTTGTCAACATCCTTCTCATCCCTCTTGCTCATATTATGTCATTCTTGGAGGCACCGTAACCTCGGCAGTCAAAAGATCGGCATCTCGGGACTCATAACAGGTTTAGCGCTCATCACGCACTCTTGCGCGCTTCGCTCATTGCCCCAAAACCCGGCTTCCTGTCGACGGGTTCCACCGGCCGACAATACACAGCTTGGACAGGTGATGTGAATGGTCCAGCCATCCCGGTGAGGGAATCCCAGGAATGGTTCTGGTTCAGCTACCCGTGCCGTGCGTTGGCTGCTGTCTACTGTCGCACATGGGTTTGGTTGGCAGCCCTAGTCACACATGAGGTGCTGCCAACTTCTCAGCAAGATGGGATCATGAGTACATAAGCGACAAACATGTTTTCACTCCCTCACGCTGAGGTTCGTCAGTCTTTGGACTTCGAAGCAGTGATTAGCGAAGAGTGACACTGATGTGACCTGACGAACACTGGGTCAGGTTTTGACTTTTAGCCCCCCGCATGTGATGTATTGCATTATGTAAACATGACTGGTTCGCAAATCAGTTCTGTCCCACGCATCTCTCGGTCGTTCTTCTCCTTCCACCATGATCTCTGCCACCACCATCGTCAATGAACCCATCACCATCGCCATTGCCTCCCACAACACTGCCCACCATCTACTCCTCATCCACCCCTCTTCTCCCTGTCTGCTTGCCTCTTCGCCTGCCAGTCACCGCCGCTTCCTTTACTGTGGCCGCCGCCGCCGTGTGGACAGCGACCCTCACCATCCCTTGCTCTTTGCCCAGGATATGTTTCCCTCGAACCTCTGCGCGGTGGCACCACTGCTTTTTCCATTCCCCTTGCAACCACCACCCCCGTCGTCTACACCTCCAGCAACGCGCTTCTGCCACAACACCTCTAATCCTCTCGTTTAGTACGACACAATGGATACATTTTTTTTGTAAACCTTGTGCTATGCACCTTGAAATATATATTTTACATGGTCCCTCATGATGCCCACTTTCAGTGTTTGTGAGTTTTGACGCGATGAATAGGTTGTCTTAGGTGAAATTTCGAAGGCCACTTGGCCACAAAGATGTCGAAACGAACTGGTTCGCAAAATTCAAGGTGTTATGTAATGGAGATCATCATGTGCGGGGGGCTAAATCTTGCCAACTCACTGGGTCCTGACGAACATCAGATCTGAAATAGTATCTAATTGTCCAAACCGACGCAGCTCACAAGCGATTCGATTTCTTTCTCCGACCGTATCAGGGCTTCTTGGTGGCGCGGTGGCGCAGCATGCCTTTTGTTCCCAACGTCCCTTCTCCGCCTCCCTCCCTGCTTTTCCTTCTCCTCTTCGCATTCCCGCTCCTTGTAGCCCCTCCGCACTGCTGACGGCCCCTCTCTGCGACGAATATTGCGCATTTGTGTCGACGCACACCTGCCTCAAATGCAAGAACATGGGAGTGAGGAGTGGCATGGAGCGCACATCTCTCATTGTTCAAGGCACCCCTCTCCCGACACTACGTGTTAATTGACACAGAAACACACATGGCACATGCTGCAATGAAAGCCAGATCCAGGGAACGGGAGGTAGCACGGTCCGTGTATGAGTGGCATTGCAGTGGGCTACTGAAAGCATGGACACGGTGGAGCATGGGATACATTGGAGGGCCATGAACACGGTGAGCAAGTACCTTTAACCTCTGCATCGACTGCGTCATGCTCACCTTGCACGTCCCTGACACCGTTCCCAATACCTCCGACTCAGCCACCACATAGCTGTACGACTCCGTGCTCCCCATCCCTCTCTGGCTGCTGAGCCACCTCTCGAGTCCATAATTTCTGTACACTAGAACCTGTAATAATAAATCAAACTTCCAATTACTTCAATAATAGTGTGAATCTAAATACTAAAACGGTATCCCTTTCCTGGTGGACAACTTCAAAAGTTGACTCTGTCAACTTTTCTGTTACCCTTCAGTCCAGGCCCGGGCCGTGTCTGTTAATTACATAATTGATTACACGTCCATCATTGCTCGAACTATCGTTGCGGACAACCTCAATGTGCCCATCCCCTCGACTAGGGACCACCTTGAACCACCATGCTCGCAGACAATGAATGCTGTCAAAGCACTTATCATTTCGATTGATCCATTGCACCCTGGGCTAAAATGAGATGCACAAAATAGCGGGCGAAGGCATCCAGTGCGTCCCTTCAGCCCACTCAACTGGCGCTGAGCATTGACTGACATGGCACATTGACAGCAGCACCTAATAGGCCTTTACAATATTGTAACCACTTTCGAACTTCAGGAATGACAGCAGCTACAAGAACGTGAATGAGCTCAGAGCAGAGACACGGCATGAGGACCTGCCTCACTGGCTACCAACCTCTGAGCAGCCAAGCGAAAGTAGTGGTGCTGGCTCATCTGCGTCATCAGCTAGTAGTAGAGGTATGTTTCACTGTCTAATTCTATATGTTGGCTTTATGGTGGGTACCCCCTCAAGGACTTTTGTGATGGTTGAACATCAGGGTGTGTATGGCCACCCTGTACCTGTATGTTTAATCATTCGTTTTGCGCTGTCCAGGTCTGACTCAGACACCAGCACCCTCACCGTTGTTGTTGTTGAGCTGATCTACAATGGCCCAGGATCCATACCCTTAAACCCATGGGAGGAGCGAAGGCGAGCAGAGTCGCAGAGGTAAAATTCCAGTAAAATCATAAGGAATTTCAGTATGTATATGATGATGTGCCTATGGTAGGGTGATCGTGCGAATAAGGAATGGCAAACACACACCCAAAACACCGCAACAAGTGGCTCTGAGGTGCGAGGACAGTTCTGTGGTTGTGCGGCTCTAACCAGATGGCATGCGTGACTCAAAGACGGGTGACGAATGTGGGCGCTAAGCATGGGAACAAGACGAATGAGGCAGCAGCACCTCCGAAATACGGTCGAAACGAGGACAAGGGACAAAGGCAAGAAATGGAAAATGAACTAAATTCTCTATTTTGTGTGAGTGAGTGTGTAGACATAGTTTATATCTATGAAGAAGGGAGAGTCCAGGAAGGGAGATATCCAAACCAGTGTGAAGGAAGAAAGAAAAACAGAAAATTTCAGATAAGAATGAAACAGATATGGAAAAGGGGAGAGGCAGCGAGGTGGCAACTGTGTTGATGGGAGGAAAAGACTACCTAACAAGGAAAGGGAGGCACACCGAGCGTCTCAGTGAAATGGGAAAGAGAGGGAAAGAGGCGGTGTCGGTCACAGGACGGCTGCTTTTGCTCTGAGGATTTCCGGGTGTGTCGAGGAATCATATGGTGTGACGGGAAAGGTGTCTGGAATCGAGGGAACAACGGGAATGCAATGACAAAGGTCGAAAAAAGATATTCTCCGAGGCCAAGCAGCGGGCCGGCTCATCAGTGAGTATGTAGTGCCATTTCTCCCCAACTCCCCCACACCCCGTGCTTTGCACAGGTGAACTTCTCATTAAGGTCTGAGATGTTATGATGGATTCTGCAGTTGTGCAGCTCTAACTAGGGCTCATGCAACCCGAACATGGAGGACTATGTCTGGCAGGAAATTTCTTGCTGAACTAGAATAAGTAAATTTACACTGGCAGTGTCTCACCAGCATCGAATATTGAGTGGCTTGGACAACAAATTTCAAGTAGGTCAATTCACCTCCCGGAAATGCGGAAACTTCCAATTACTCGAGCATAAAGCCAAGAATAACTAGCAGGGGGCCCATTTGAGTGAAGTTGGTTAGCACTGGAATGAGGTAGACAGCCTTTCCAGTCCAAGCCTAGCATAAGGACACCACTCAGACTTACAGCACACATAATTTGCGGCATTTATTTCTCCTACATGGGGCTCGCACGGAGAAAATCCATGAACAACCATGATGCCTGTACGAATTGAGACCGCCGGAAGTCGCTCGGCACGATGGAAAGGTGAGTGGCCTTGGGTGAAATTCAAATAAAATAAATTTTGCGCGTATTGAGTATTCTCTCGGCTTATTAGAATACCCAACCCCCAGCCCCCGTGCAAAGCACGGGTAATCCTCTAGTGGTCCTTATTCGGGCAGTTGGTCTACAAGTGAGCTGTTCATGTAATTCACTCATGGTAGCCCTCAGCCTGATGAGCCAGCTCACGCACTCGCCTTCACTCTAACGAACCGCCTTCCTATTTGGATGTTTACATAAGTGATGACAAATGCGAGCATCACGTGCATGGGGCAGAAAGTCGCCAAGTCACTTCAAAGTTCCAACATTGATTCCCCTCTATTGTCCTGCAGATCCTTTGAGGGTCCAGGCGGTGTAATATTATTATTATTATTATTATTATTGTCCCACCTGGCCAAATTCGGTGTGACACGGGACAACTGTCCGATTTCGGCCATGTCCACTGGCCACGTGACCCGTGATGGCCCATACTGTACATAACCGGTTACTCGGTCACACCAGCTACTCGGTCATTGCCTTTGTGGGTGGCACAGTTGCTCGTTTCACTCCATTCTTTTTGTGCTTTCATGTATAATAGTATCAGAGCAATCTAACTACATTTTTTGGCAGGCAGAACACCATTCCTCGTGGAGAAATGAGCCTCCCTTTGTGTCTGGTGATGCGTGACAGCCAATTTCCTTATTTGATATTGTGTTTCTGGTGGTCCCAGAGGGCTTTTCTCGACGACATGACACATTGCCAGGAAGATACTTTGGACTTAAGAATTTCATAGTGATTACTGTATAATTAAGCAAGTTCCTCTGATGTTGAAGGATTACTGCACTTCCAACCTTGAAAATTGGAGAGTGTGTCATTTTGGAGGTGAATTGGACTGTTCCTGCTGATTTCTCTTAGTACAAAGCACCTATTACCTAAAAAAGAGGTGGAATGAATTGTGAGGCAAATATCTGTGCATGACAGAAGACCCCTTAATTTTTACAAATTTCTTCTGAACATAAGACACCAAGCAATTGAAAAATCTTGTTTTGAGTGATGAGAAATGTCAAATTGAATAACTGAAAGGAAAACATCAGAAATCATGAAATAAGAAGACCAGAATATGATAGAGGTGTCTAAATTTCACTGGAAACACTTTTTCATTGAGGTCAGACCAACTTCGAAGAGTAATTCAAGGTGGCCGAGTGTTGTCCTTGTATTCCGAGGTTATCTTATCATCAGCTTACTAAGCATAACTGACCCTAGTTACAGCTGGTGTACGGGACCAATACAAATCGGTCTAGTCTCAGGGCCTGGCCGACTTCCTGATTTCGACCGATTTTGACTTGTCGAAATAAAATATTCATAGAGGTCTCAAACCGTCCCTTAAATTTCTGGTAATTGGTGCACAGGCACTTCAGATGCTTGCCTATTGAGTAGTACTGTTATTTTTTCTGATACCCCAAAATCAAGCACGCAAATCTTAGGCGAGTGTAGAGTGACCGAGATGCCGGTCATCTACAGTAGATTCGAAGTGGTACAGTATCACAAACCGCCAATTATTTAATGATTTGTTAGGTAGAACGTGAGAGAGCCACAAATCTGATGTTCCGTTTCACCGGTTGACCGCAGGCAAGAACGACGGTTTCCACACTTTGGCGCTGTCGCTGTGTAGGACACACAGCATCTTGTAGCCTCGTCATCGCCGCCCGTTCCGATAAAAACACGACTCTGAGGAATGCCTGCTTGAGTCACGAACATTACCGCACGACAGTTCTTATACCCTCGGACCCCGACTGTCACGACAACAATAACTACCGCCACCACTATCACAATACCCATCGATGTCGCGACCAGTGATCAAGTTGGACGACAAAATCGACCAGGAGCAGACCCTGGGAACGCTCATTGTCGTTATCCTGAAAGCGCGGAATTTGCACGACAAGCATACGTTCCGCAAGCAGGACGTCTTCGGGCAGGCTACTCTCAATGGTACGCCGATATACTGGAAATTTCGACATCACTCAATCTAGCATATACATTCTTTCTAGGCATCGAGAAACGCACTCAGGTCGACATCAAAGGCGGCCAGCACCCTGTGTGGGATAGTGAACTCCGATTTACCATTATGAAAAGTACCGCCGCAAAGCACCGCAAGCTCGAAGTAGCTTGCTATGCCAAAGAACCACGGGAGGACGATCTCCTTGGGAAGTGCGTTGTTGACATCTCTGAGACTGTGAGGACGGGGGAATTCGATGGTACGTCGTCCATAGTAGATCTTGCGGCTAAAGCAGCCTAACATCGACACGATTGCATTCAGATTGGGTAGGACTAGAGGTAGAAGGCTCCAAGAGGGGTGAAGTCTACCTCGAGATGACCTATTTTTCCAACGCACCGCCGCCTGTCTCCCAAGGAGCACCAAACAACAAGCACCTCACCCAAGTACTGAGCGCCAATTCCAATAATCTCCAGCGCCGCCCTTCAAAGCTCTCGCCTGCCGACCGCCTCTCGCGTCCCGTACAACAAAGTCCTCCTGCTGGTCGTCCTGGCTATGTACCTCCTGGCCCCTCGAAACTCGCCGGATCGCCGCCGTACACGCCGCCCACACAACCGCACCAGCAACTGCCACCAGTCAATCAGAGCGCTGGGTTGCCTGCGAGCTTGGCCCCGTCGCGCCCGAACGGTGCATCTCCTAAAGGACGGAATGATACCCTGCCCAGTTTGCCTCCGCAGGCGCAAGCTCAAGGGTCGGCGCCGTTCCCATCTATTCTGCGTCCTGGCCCAGGTGGGCCGTCGGTGCCACAAAATATACCTCGACCTCAGCAATACGGGCACCATCGACACCCTTCGGCTTCTCCGCCATCGACGCCGGGATATTATACACCTCAGGCAGGGACGTCGCCCCAAGCATCGAATCCTTACATCGGAGGAGGTGGGCGCAGTGGAGGTAGCACACCTGCTCCTGGGATGGCACAGGGCCCTACCTATACGCCCCATCCGGCATCACACCATCAACATACACTACCGCCAGCGTCAGTACCACCGCAAAACCCGTACGTATATACGGCTTCGCCACCGCCTCCAGCAGCTGCTCCGCTTCTCTGGCAGGACACGCCCGCGCCCGCTCCAGGACCCAGTGGCGGTTTCTCCTTCCCAGTACCCATCATTCCAGCAGGAGGACCTTTGTACAGCAGCCCACCTTCTGGACCTTCAGGGTACAACGGATATGGCGGCTATCCACCGTTAAGTCGGATGGGAGACGATCGCTCACGCGAAGAGCTGAATCCCCATTTGCAAACCAGATATCAATCGCCGCTGCCTTTACCTCCTGGTGCGGAAGCCCGGCCAGCACCCGCACCGGCAGCCACGCTCGCACCACCAGAGACACCTCCGCCTGCATGGTCACCTGCAACACCTCCCAAAGACGACATCCTAGATCGCCGGCGTGAAGCCGAGCTGGCTGCTGAGAGAAATCGACGGGAGGAAGAGGAGAATAAGGAACGAAGAGAGCGTGAAAGGAGAGAGGAGGAGCGAAGAGAACGTGAAAGGAAGGAAAAGGAGAAAAGGGATAACGAAGCCATAGAGCGTGCGGAGAGGCTACGGAAACAGGAGGAATATGACAAGCAGGTGGCGAGGAAGCGTGAGCAGGAGAAGAGGGATCTAGAGTTGGCGATGCAGCTGGATCGCGAGTTGAATCTGGAGGAGGTTGCGCGTATGGGGAGCGGAACGTCGAGGACGACGGCGTCAATGCCAGGACAGTGGTAGTTTGTTTAAACCTTTAAATTATTGTGCCCGAAAGATACCAATGTTCATGTACTACTACTATCTACAGATTATAATGTGCTACAGATATGCCCGTAATCCGCTTGAGAAATAGTCCAACAATATGTTAGCTGATACAGTGTGCACAAGAAAGCGAGACCTGAAAGGGGTGGGAATGCCACCCAGTGTTGAAATGTGGATAGTCCAAAGACGAAGCAAAGCTTTCAGATGTAGTCCACTAGCGTAGTAATGTCTTCTGTCTTCAGTGTCGTGGGGATTCATGAGAAAAAAGCTAGACCACCTGGGTCATGTTCGGGTTTGCAAGACTAGAGCCATTGCTCTGACTGAGTCTTTGGGCGGTCAGCGTCCCCTTCTCGACATTCTTTGATAACCGGAGATCATAATAGAACGTCAGGAGATAGAATGTGAAACCAAAAGCGATAGTCCACTCGAGGATAGCTTCATGCGCGCAGGAATGAGCGACATGCACTGCAACAGGATGGGACAAAATCTATGCTTACCACCGGCATTAGGAGCGCTGAACAGCGCTACCGCAAATCCAATAGCCAAAACGATGAGGATCGAGGCGATGGCTGCCTTTGCGCAGTACGCAGTTTTGACCTGGCGATGTTCTGCAAAGTCTTTACTGATCCACCGGTACTAGAGGAAGATGGAAAAAAGGCACGTGAAATTTGATAGAAGATAGAGAAAGCAAGCTTCATACCTCGATGACAGAGAATATGGCACTGAGAGCGACACCAACCAGAAAGACGAGCAAGCATATTCTGTGGGCTTGCGTGTAGCGTTTCGTGTCGAATATAGAGAGGAAAAGGAGACCCAAGCCTCCGATAAATGACCCCAGGATGGCGAGACTACTGAAGACGCGCTCGCGCGTCCGCATGTTCGGCATAAGTCTGCGAAGGTCCTGTGAATATTAGGCGACCATGACCAAATTCGTTCAATACTCACCTTCCGGAGTGTCTGAGATACCGTTCAACAACGAGGGACAGGAAAAAACCAAGTCCGGTGATTGCGCAGCCAGTGACGAAGAGGGGCTTGACATTGCTCGCACCAATGTCCGAAATGAATGCTATTGAGCCCTCCATGGACACGTATTTCGGTCGTCCAAAGGCGAGCCATACGATGAGCATCGCAAGTAGGGTGCCTATTCCATCCGAACGAAGTCAGAAAACAAAAATGTTTCGAAGGATTCAGGACATACTGAACCACATCGCGGCTGCAGCGATAGGTATCCAGACATATCTCCAATGTCGGTAGCGTAGAGAAATGCTAAATGTCATTAAGTTGGGTTATAGTAGGGGTGGGAGTGGGACTAAGTCAGACCGGTATTAAAGGTGGAAGATGGGACGCGTTGGACGAACGGCATCGATCCGTTGACGTCAGAGTCGCCTCAAGACCCATTTTTGGCTCTGAAACGGCTCTGAAACGGCTGCGCCCACTGCCTCCGGGCCGAGATTCAGTGCTTGCGCAGTTCCACGAGGCGCCCAAGAGCCTGCAAGGGCATGGTCTGAGTAAGTCTAGTCTTGTAATACTAGTACTGCGTCGGCCGTGTACAGCTTTCTGGAGAGTCGGGTTCTGCGAGCAAGACGCACTCGCACGCCGAGCACTTGCGATTGCGAATCAAAGAAACAGGCGTGATGTCATTCACCTTCTTTACGTCGCCAGGGTTAGCGGACCTGGGCATTCAATTTGAGAAAATTAGGCGTATACGACCACCTCATCCGGAATGGAGACATGTCGTTCGCAAAGGAAATTTTGTCCAGTTCTTTCCATAACGCTGCCCTGCTGAATATCAGAGAGTGGCGCACACCGCACGCCACAGCTTTGGGATTATTTCCGACACGGTTTTCTTGGCAGGTCCTTCGTCTGTTGGCTATAAATAGCTGCATAATCCAACTCTGGTCATCGGCCCAGCTGACCATGTATCTGTCATCCTCTTTATTTTCATCCTAAAGGTCCCCTCGAATAGATGACTTTAGCGGCGAACCTTTGAGGTTGCACTGAATATTACTCAGCGACCGATTTTGAGCAGGATATTACAGGCTCAGGTGAGCAGGAACGAACGCCTCTTCTCCTATAGGTGACTTTGCGTACGATCCAATGAGAATTCGACCATTAGATCGGTAGAAGAAACCCTGTGAGGTAGAAAGTTTGGAGCAACGCGGACGAGGGATCTGAGGATGTTAGAGGCGCGCCAACTACTCCTCCAAGCGATGAGCAAAGAAAGAAAAAACCAAAGTTGTGGACTTCATGCGAGAAGGGCGCCTTGATGATGGGAAAAACTGGAGAGCGTGGGTGAGGATCGCAACCTATCGGCAAGAAAGGGGGAATCTGAGAAAGCAGGGGAGTAAAGGGGGAGAAGATATGGATTAACAGGAAGTAGAAGGTACAAACAACGGAGGGATATACATGATGGAAGGAAAATATGGGAGAAAGCGAATGTAAGAGGTCAGAAAACCCAATCCGAGGTCAGTGCGCAATTGACATATACGAGAAAAAGGAGGGTGGAAGGAGGGGATAGGCATTGCGGAAGTGGGAAAAAGAAGCTGAGGAAGCAAAGAACGCTGTCAATCGAGGTCCTGGAATCACAACCATAAACCGATGATGAAAGATGTCTCCGCAGGGTACTAGACGAAGTCTCACTCCGGTCTTCACGCAACTATGCTCGTTTCCACGACAGAGCCTGAGAACGGCGATGGGGCGCAATGAGGACCCGCAGCAGCAAGCTTCTTGAAAATCTGGACAAAAGTGCACGCATGTGAGTAATGAGAAATACTGTGCATGAGATGAAAAGCAGTGGTCGAGTAAGCAACGGCGTGATCGCTGCAGCAATCACGAAATGGCCAAGGGAAAACGTGGGGAGCAAAATAATCATCCATGCTGACCTGAATGAACACGTCCGAAGATTGGCCGCCACTGACGGCCCACTTTCCATCGATGATGGTCATGGGCACGCCTGTGATACCTTTTGACCTCGCCTCATCGCACATCTGGTTGACCTCCTTTTCGAGCTCGTCTGAGTTGAGGAACGCGGCCGCCTGGCAAATTCAAGTATCACGAGACGGGGAAGCAGCACAGAAGTTGACGCAACGGACGTGAGAATAGGAACAGGGGGATAACATGACGAATGAGTTCCATGATCCCCTCTAACAAGTAGACGACACATTACGCACCTGATCCTTGGACATCGTTCCCGACTCCTCCGCAAGCTCGGCGAGGATGTTGATATCAGCGATGTCTCGGCCGTCTTCCATGTGCGCCTTGAAGATGGCGCAGAGGAGGGGAAGTTGGAGGTCCTGACCACCTAACTTGTAAGCTTTCTGGCAGAGGCGGTGGGCACGAGTTGTCTGGCTCATAACGCCTCTGAATGAACTATTTGGAATGGAGAGAACAAGTAAGTAACGGCCATGTCTGAGATGAGAAGGAATAGGCGCACATAGGAATCCCCTTCTCTTCCCCCCATTTAGCGATCGCCGCTTGCAGCTTGAAGAAGCGCTCTCTGCCCAGTTGCTTCTGGAGGAAATCGGTCTTCTCGACCTTGGGAGCGTTGCTGGAATCGGTAAGAATGGCAGGGTTGATGAGTCGGAAGGGGAGGTGTTCCACCTCGAACGAGATGGGTAGGTGCAGGGTGTCTTGGGTATACGCGATGGCGTCTAAGAGCTCATGCTGGCCCACGCAGCAACTAGCACACGCCTGGGAGGGGAGGAACTATCAGGACTGTCGGGCGAGCGATGGTTGGCGGGGACGTACAAAATCGGTAATCACGGTCAGCTTGACCACCCTTGTAGTCATGATATAACCAACGGAAGCGCCGAAAGGGTTCTGTGTTGATTTATTTGATAGAGAGTATGGCGACAATAGAGAAGGGTAGTGTTATGAGAGTGCTTTCACGTTGAGTAAGAAGACGGACATAGGCAGTGGAGGGGAATGAGAAGCGCTGACTGAGCGTAGAAAAGGACTGATCAACGGATCGGAGGCACAAACACTTTGAAACAATTCGTAACGCTGACTAACATCCCTCTCTGATCTTGACACATTCTTACTCTCGCAACCTCCATTTCCGTCCCCACTGCTCCGCCTCGGATTATTGAATTGCTGCTTTGGCCGTGACCAATATTTCCAGCTGGGGCCGCCGACTACGCCTGGCTTGCCAGAACGGTAGAGGCAGCCTTCGGAAAATGAAGCAATTTCCGATCGAGCCTCACCACTACCCCGTCGATTCAATAGTCATATTGCATGCGCGCTCTTGAGATGTGATGAATAACCCTTTACTGTTGTCTCGTGAGGCTGAAGGAACCAGACGTGATTCAATTATTTGTGCCCTGAGGAATGTAGAACCAACCTCAGCAAGTCTAGCCGTCCGCCATCTCCTACTTGCCATCTGAGAGCTACAAGTCCTTGCCCTTTCGGCTTCAAGCTTCACCCCGCATAGGCCAACAATGCTTACGACACCGAGAGGTATTTTTGCAAGAATGTGTGTGCGTGTGTGAATTGAGCTGGAAGTCCAGGGTAGCTATCAACGCGGCTCCTCTGGACCAGCAAGCCCAATTCGACCACGAGGTGTTGAAATTCGATGTGGTCGGGCTTCGCGTACGCTCGCGACGTGCGAGTGTGATATGAAGAAATAGAACCTGTCTAGAAGGTCAAGCACGGGATGAGTAAGGGCTTTACTCAGACAAGGACGTTTTGTACCAAATAAATCCAGTTATCGCAAATATACTGACACGCGATGTTATTCCAAGAGGTCATGCACGTCTTCATATCCAAGACCAGCCGGCCATGGATCAGGAACATAATTCCTATCCACTTCGAGCTGGTCTTGCAGCCAATCCAACCGATCCTTGGTCTGAAGTACTGTGCGACTTCGTCGGTCGAGATGTATCTTCTTCAGCGCTGCGGGTCCATTTCTGCGCGTGTACACCAAGTGGCAGAGCGGGGTTACGTCTACTGGCTGCAGGTCCTGAATAGCTAGTGTCAGCAGGTGTGGCCAGGGGCAAGGTCTTGCTGGGTCGGGCTCGGGCTCGGTCTCGGGGGAGTTTGGCAGAAGCATAAAAAAAATATCCGGCATTGCTTCGTCGATGCTCAGGTATGACACAGACGGGAACGCTCGAATGAGGTTCTCTATTTCTGGCTCGTCGAAGGCGCACGACTCCAGGCAAACAGTTTGAACAGAAGGGAGGATGGGAGAATCGAAGATGTCGATTCTATGAAGGGAGAATGTGTGGAGTTGCGGCATACGCATCATTGGTATTAATCGAAACAAGGATGGACAGGGACCATGGATCCGCAGACTGCGTAGATTAGCGAGATTCACTGTCTGTAAGACTTCTAGTGGGTCTCGGGGGTGATGAACGGTGAGTTGGTTGAGGGATAGATTGACAAGGAGTGGGGTATTCTCGAGGATGGTTCGGAACTGATCATGGACCATGTAGTGGCGGGTCCAACCGTCAAGATGGAGAGTCGTAACGAAACATGTGGGAGGGTGTGAATTACCGAGAGCGAATCCTGCTAGCCTGAGAAATGAGAGTGAAGGTGCGCCGAGCATGAGGATATTTTGTGCAATGGCTGAATATGGCTTCCGAGGCGACAAAGAGCCTTGCTCTGGCTTGCCTATATTGAGAGACAGGTGCTGAAGAATCGGAGCTTCTGCATGTCTCAATAGTTCGGATATCTCTTCAACCTGTTCATGCTTCGTCACAATGGACAAGCGCCGCCATCGCCTTGAATGAGCGCCTAGAAGCTTAAAATAGGACGACAACTGGTCCACAATGTGGAAATTGAGGGATATGTCGAGAAAACACGTATCGGAGCGCTTAATATGTGCTCCGAGCTGCGACAAGACCCTGCGTTGAACGTGGTTCATGGGCCGGATGTGAAAGTCCATGGTATTCCATAGCAGAGGTGTGGCCAATATCGCCTCGCGCCAACGACGTGATACATGCGAGGCAGCCACTTGAAAGGGGATCTGTACACGGCTTTTATTCCTGGATCGTGCGGAAATTTGTTTGCAATCCAAAAAGATTTCGGTCAAGAGCTCGTTTGGAAGCTTGTGGATAGGTGCGTCCTCGTTGAGAAGTTGTGAGTATTGTGCCTTCTGGTTATGAAGTTGTAGGCTGAGGTTATCTAGCTCGCGCAGGATCTCGTCTCGGCGGTTCTCCAGAGTCGAGATAGACTTCTGGAGGACCTCTTTGGGATTCACCGCCATGCTTTAAGGACCAAGTTCAAGCTGCTCCGCCCACGCGCAACTATTTAATAGCAATACAGAATGATTTACTTTCAGCTCATTGTAGTAGTAAGGAGCGAAAGACGTACCTTTTATTGAAGATCATGAGTGGACTACCTTGCTCGAGGTGAACAAGAAACGTTACTAGTCAATGTTGATGTTGAACTTGCTGATGTTTGAGGAACCGGGTGCTGCCAAATACTTCGCAGAGTCGAACTTGCCGGCCCGGAGGTTCCGTACCCGATCAGCATTTCCAGGAAGTCCTCAGCATTTCTGCTTTACACCCAACCACAGGCGTCATTTACAGAGCGCCTTATCTAACTCCTTCATTATTAGCTCAGAGGATGAAACTCGATATCTTTGCGAGCATACATAAGTCCGCCAATAAATCCGTCAGCCCAATTGGAGATCTCATTCACGGCGTAGGCTCCAGAGGCGGGCCAGAACACGCCTTGGCACGACTCGTTTGCCTGAGCTCGGTCAAGAACGTGAAGAAGCCAGACCTTTCGTAAGAAGTCAAAACCTACACGAGCGGACCCAGCGGCGCACAAAACAACATAAAGCATGCGTCCAGGAAAGCAAACGCTTCTCACAGTCGTGCTCCCTTCTATTGTCCTGATCCCAGCCATAGCCCTCATCCTCAACCGCCTCATGTCCGCCACCACAGCACCTTCCTCGACACGGAGTGCTATTGTCGTCGGTTCTGGCCTCGCTGGCCTCTCGGCCGCGTCGCAACTCATCGCCCACAATGTCCCCGTCCATCTGCTCGAACGAGCTGCGAAACCAGGAGGCAATTCCATCAAAGCATCTTCCGGCATAAACGGTGCCCCAACGCGCTTCCAAACCACACAAGATTCCCTGTTCTACGAAGATACAGTCCGCTCGGCAGGCAACGCCTTCAAAGATAGCAAGATGCGCGAATGCCGACAAAAGCTTGTTACGACGCTTACCAACACCTCCGAGAGCGCCGTCTATTGGTTGAATGACGAAAAGGGAGTCGATCTCAGTCGCGTTGGACAGTTGGGCGGCCATTCGTTGCCACGCACGCATCGTGGGGCGGGAAAACTACCCCCGGGTGCAGCTATCGTCACCACCCTGCTCAAATCACTTCAGCAAAGCCCTTTGTTCCACCTGCATACGGGAAGCTTGGTCACGAAGGTTTTGAAGTCTGCAGAATCGGTCGAGGGTGTCGAGTATTCCGAGGGCGATGAAACCAAAACGTTGCACGGCGCTGTCGTATTTGCGAGCGGTGGTTTCGCAGGCGACTCGAAGGGCATGCTTGCCGAATATCGTCCAGATCTGGCAGGTTTCCCGTCTACCAACGAGGCCATTCCAGGATCCCAAAAACTGCTGACGGCTGTTGGTGCCCAGCTTCTCGACATGGAGCTCGTTCAGGTGCATCCCACGGGCTTCGTCGACCCCAAGAATGTCGGAGCTCTAGTCAAGTTTCTGGCAGCAGAGATCCTGCGCGGAGAAGGCGGTCTGTTGTTGCTCAACGGCAAGCGCTTCGTCAATGAGATGGAGACACGGCAGCATATTACAGACGTCATCCTCAGCACCCCACCCGTTGACACGAGCCCGCAGCAGTGGGACATCCAGCTCGTACTTGACGAAGGCGCTTACAACGCCTTGTCATCCCATGTCGACTTCTACATCTTTAAGGGTCTTATGCGCAAAGCCACCGTTTCGGAGCTCGATCCTTCCGGCGTCGCCCTGCCTTCCATCCAAGAATATGCAAAGGCTGCAGCCGGACTCGCCTCCGACCCCTTCTCCAGGAAGACATTTGGTAGCTGGGTGCTGAAGGAGGTCAAGCCCGACTCTATTGTCTACGTCGGCAGGGTGACACCTGTTGTTCATTTCACAATGGGTGGTGTGCTGATCAGTCAGGACGCGGAGGTGCTCGACGCGGATGGTAAGCCTATCAAAGGTTTATGGGCTGCTGGAGAGATTACGGGTGGGCTTCATGGTGACAATCGCCTGGGAGGTTCATCTCTCCTTGAGTGTGCTGTGTTTGGAAGGATTGCAGGTGACCAGGCTGCAGCTTTTGCTCGTAGCTATCACTAGGGGTCGAAGTGAGTTGCTCGTATCTACGCGGTCTCGTTGGCTTACAATATACCCTAGCAAGCTCTGTGAAGGATAGCAAATGTACCATTAGCTGCTGTATCTATATGACATCAAATCGGGATTCCCTCTAGCATATTTTACCCAAGTCAGAAGCTATTCTTGTTAGGCAGAAGAAATTGAAAGAAACAAAGCTCGTTATAATAATAGAGGCTTTGCGCAAAGCCAGCTGGAGCCAGTGCTGGCTCAAAAACGTTGCGCTGTGTCGTGTAGCCAGTAGCGGCCAATTAGTGACTATGCTTTTAACTTAGTCTTATGTAGTACCATGTATGTCTGGATGCCAGGGGAGTTCAATGACAATGCAAGTATTTCATTGTATTCATCCGTGCAGCTACGACAATCTCCAGAGACTAACCTATATATGGAAACTGAGCCAGCAGAAAATATCAACCGTGATCAACCGTTGATCAACCACCCCCACAGACTGATATTGCGTGGAGCTCTCCAGGAAATACGAGGTTATAAAGAGATGTAAGTAATATTAATATATGGCATTCATCAGGCTGATATTCAGGTTCTGCTGGCTAAAGGTCTCAGCACAACACATTTGAGCCACCACTGGCTCCAGCTGGCTTTGCGCAAAGCCTCTAACAATAATGTAGCTGAACTTGCAACGCGTCAAAAACCAACCAATTCTCAAACAAGGCAACACCCCTAATCCGAATTTTCAGCACTCGCACTCAAACCAAGGTACTTATTAGGAGGCCAAATTACACCGGGTACCAAGGCTGTTAGAAGGCCTGCGCCAAAACATCCAGATGCTAAGGATATCCTTCAGGATGGTTAGAACGATGATTCTATTCGCATTCCAAATGCAAGGCTCACTTGCTGGGTTGAGAAAAGGAGACCTGCTACTAGTGGCACTTGGTGTGGATCAGCTTTTGCACATCTTCACTGGGTGGATGAAGTGGTAGACTGTCTAAGGTCCAGGTCAGGGCCAGCCCTCACCTATTTTGCCGGCCCTGACCCTGGCCCTTGGGGCTGGGGCCAACTTTCTCTGGCCCTGGCCCTCCTAAAAGGGCCAGGCCATAAAAGGGTCAGGCCAGGGCTGACCCCAGGCTGGCCCTCAAAAAGCACTTATTTTTTAATTTGTTTTCACAATTAAATAAGAATATTTATTTTATACATACTATACAGAAGGTATTCTACAAGGCGACGGTGAGATGAGGGCGGGGTGAGACGAGGGCAATGGCAGTGACAAGGCGACGACGAGACAAGGGCAGGTGCTAGCAGCAAGGCAACGGTGACACGAGGGCGAGCGATGGCGAGTGAGGCTGGCGATGGTGCGAGATGAGGGCGACATTCTGAGGTGAGGGTGGGTGCGAAACGAGGGCAATGGCGAGTGAGGCTGGCAATGGTGTGAGACGAGGGCGACGGTGCGAGGCAAGGTGCGAGGGGAGGGTGGGTGCGAAATGAGGGCAAGGGTGCAAGGGTGCAAGGGGAGGGCAAAACGAGGGCAAGTGAGGGTGGGAGCAAGGGTGAGCGACAGCGAGTAAGGGTGAGGGCAGGGGCGACAGTAACAGTGACGGCAACAGTGCGAGCAGCGAGGCAAAGGCGAGGGGATGGCAATGCCAGCAAGGCGAGGGGGAGGCGATGGTGGAGGCAAGACGAGGGCAAGTGAGGGTGAGTGAGGGTGGCAA